TACTGCAAACCCTTTACAGTGACATTGGGGGTGGGGAGGAGGCAGGATCTCAAACCAGCATCTTCTTTAGGATGTGCATAGTGGTAACTCAGGCAGGCGCACTCCACACCACCAAGAGCACAGTAAACCTCCGACGAAATCTCCATCACCATTAGGACGCCTCAGCGGAGGCCTGACTGACATATCCTGGAAGGGTGCCCATTTCTATTTGCCCAGAGGCTCTGGGGGGTTGTTTCTACAAGAGTCTTATCGTGCTGGAGTCTGACTTTGGAGTCATCATTGCCTCAGTGAACTATAGCCACACAGAAAGACTGCCTGGACCAGTGGTCGGCAAACTGCGGCTCGCAAGCCACATGCGGCTCTTTGGCCCCTTGAGTGTGGCTCTTCCTAAGCCTTAGGAGGACCCTAATTAAGTTAATAACAATGTACCTACCTATATAGTTTAAGTTTAAAAATTTTGGCTCTCAAAAGAAATTTCAATCATTGTACTGTTGATATTTGGCTCTGTTGACTAATGAGTTTGCCAACCACTGGGCCCTGGACGAACAAAAACACTAAACTGAGGATGCTTGAGTTTCCCTTCGCCCCGATGAAATACTAGCATTGTCATCCTAACGGTGGGTCCCAGGTAGCCTAGAGCAGCGTGCTGCAAAAGCTCCACAAGCATGAATTAGTCTCACGACACCCCTCAGGGCAGCAGGGCGTCACAGCGGAATGGCAGGGACGGGCCCCAGCAACGGCAAACAGGCAACTGGAAGAAACTGAGCCCAGCGCAGTCTCAGAAGCTAGGACCAACCAATCCCTTTGGAAATTCAACCAAAAATCTTAATAAAGTTCACTTCTTTGGACTTAATAATTCTGTGTCTAGTAGTTTATCCTAAGGAAATAACCCAATATTCAGAAGAGTTTTTTTGCACAGTGTTCATCAAAGAATTATTTATAAGGGAAACGCTGTCAAAAACTCCAATATCCAACAATAAAAGCACAACTTTAAAATTCAAGTACACATGCATAAAAGAATATCATAAAGCAATTTTAAATCATATTTAAAAGAAAATGCTCATAATGTAATTTTAAAAAGGGAATGATCAGGTTATAAAATTGAATATATATTATGAACACAGTCCTGTGAGAAAAATTTTGCACAGGAAAAAATACTGAAAGGACGCAAGACAAAATGTTAATGAAAATGGCAATATTCTGCATGGGTAATTATTTTTCTTTTTTAGACTTTGATGTGCTTTCCAAATTTTCTTACAATAATCAGGTATTACTTATAAAGGGGGAAATTAATTTTTTGTTATAAAATAGTATCTAAATGGTTAAGATCATTTCTAAATTACATGCACTGAGAAAATTTAAAACAGCGTATAAATTTCTTTATGCAACATTTAGCCTAAGAAAATCAAAATTGGGAAGTTGAATTTGAAATATGTATCCATGTGAGTATATCTACATTCACACAGGAAACAAGACTTAAGAGGAGACTTCGAACCACACGGGTGGGCCAGCGGTGTCATGGGGAGTGGGGCCTTGCAAGCTCCCACCACCCGCCACGGGAATGCCATGCACTGCAAAGAGGCAACGGGCTTGCCAGGCAAACACAGCTTCACACAGGTCTCCCAGCCTTCCCTCCCAGCCAGGCTGCAGCCCCCAAGTCCTTATTAAAGAGGAATCTTGAACACCTTCCACAAACAAAATACAAACTGACATATTTTTCAAGGGGAGGTATGGTTAACTGTACAGTAACTTTTGTTTTGTCCTAAAACAAAAGCCAAGGAAAAATGCCCTAACCCCTTCACCATTTAAGTTATCTAAAGCAAGGCTCCTTTCCATGAGCCTAAAGAAACAGCAAACTCAGTCTATCTTCAATTCCAAAAACTAAGACGTTAGCATCTTTAGTTGCCCTGGGATAAGAAAAGACTATACTCCACAAACATACGAAAAGCAAACCAACTAAGAGGGTGGGCACCAGCCTCCCACTGACCTCCATCTAAGACCACAGCTTTAGCTAGCTGCTTGGGCAGGGACAGAGGGGCAGCTCTTGCATCCTACACTGTAAGTAACTTTTACCGACCGTGTGGGCAAAGAAAGATGAGAAGAGCAGGCAAAGAATAAAAATGATAGGCTCAGTCCACCGGGACCCACCTCCAGAGAAGGCCGGGTACTTACAACTCCCTTATTTTACCACTGGTTATTTCCCAGAGATATTGGGAAGCTAAAACCATTGTCCCACAGGTGCTGTCGGTACTAACATTCAACACAGCTTCTTTAAGAATGGGTAGATCCGTCAACACAATCCTCCCTCTTACAGGAACGGGATACGTCGGTTCCTTTTCTCAAGAACTGACTCTCCCAACCCATCCCTCACCTCTAAACACCACTCTCTGTGCAGTGCTGGCTCCCAGTGCTTCCCAGACTTCCCTGTGTGCTGAGCACCTGGGATCTTGTTAGGATGCAGGTCCTGAATTAGCAGGGCTGGGTGATGCAGAGACCAAGTCAACCCCAATCTCTGCGAGGTGAGACCAGGCAGTGCGGCAAGGCTCCCCGGGTGACCCCTATGGGCAACGGAGGTCACACACATGCTAGAAGATTTGCAAGGGCCACCAGCTCTATCTGACTCCTGGGTACTCGGAGTGTGGCCCCCGCACCGGCAGCACCAACACACTAACACTGGCATCAGAGCTGTTGGAAAGACTGACAGAGGTACACAGGAAGAGCATGCAGTAAGTTCTCTAAAACATTAGCCGTGGTTATTATTTCGCTACTAGTCGTGGTATGATCACTGTTCAGGTAGGCTGATGTACCTGAGGAGGCCAAATTCATACGGAAACAAGAATTCTCGGTAAAACTATGAGTTAAAAGGAAGATAAGAAAATGTGAGCAGGGGAGTAGCCTCAAGAGGGTGGTTGAACTAACCTTGCAGTGAGGGTGCTTCCTCTATATATGAGTGTGTAGGGAGGTGACCACAGCCAAGGCAGTACAGTCATAATGACAGCTGCCATTCATGTGGGCCTTAAATAATGTGCCAGGTACTATCCTAACCACTGAGAATTCTCCAGGCAGAACCGAGGGGTTTCCCTTACTCAGAGCCTACGGTCCGCAGGCCCCAGACTCAGGCGCAAGTGGGATCCTGATGGGGTGGAGGATTCCTTTCCCTCTGGGCAAAGGAACTGCAGAGCCCCCCAAAGAGTGGTGAGGACGGGACACGATGTCTAAGTATGAGCCACGACAGAAAGGTGCCAGGCTCCAGGCTCAGAAGGGTGAAGAGACTGGACCCAGAAGCCCACCTCTGGGCTAGCCTACATTTCGAACCATGTGCCATTCGTCCTCGGGTTCTCTTTGTCCCATCCTCTCCTCCTTCTCTTTTTTTGCTCCCTCTTCCTCCCAGAACTGCTTCTAGGAGCTTGTTTCCTGCATCACCTAGATGCCTCTCTTCCCAGCGATCTCCTGGAAAATGGGGAGGAGAGTCTGAAGGGTGGTGTTTTTCACAGAGGTGTTTCGTGCCGAGGCCCTGCATATCACCTCTGCCCAGAGGAGGGGCTGACATTCCACGAAGGAGCAGCTCATGTGACTGAGATAACTGAGGTGTAGCCATGAAGGGGAGGCTGAGGGCATGGTTTTGAGCCTGCCAGGCTGGACGTCTGAAGATAGTTCCAGAGAGCTCAACTTTGTGTGCTCTTTGGAATCTACATTTCAATAGCTGTTTCACTCCTGTTTCACTGAGCCATGACCAGTCTAGGCCGTGACTTCCCTAGCCTCCAGGATCAAGGTCCCCATCTTACAGAGGCAGATGCTGAGAGATCTAGGAGTTTGCTCAAAGGTCTGAGCACAAGGACCACCAAGGACTGAACCAGGCAACCTGGCCCCATACTGGGGACTCCATATCAGGAAACAGCGGAAGCCTGCAAAGGATCAAGATCTGTGTTCTGCATCTCACATACGTTGTCTCCTTTTTCCTCTCAGCAGCATCGTGAGAGCTGCACATGACCAGCTTGATTTACAGAGGGAACCGGAAAGGAGCTTGTGACTGTCCAGGTGCAGAGCACTGGTCAGTGGAGGAGGAAGAGTCCACTCCAAGCCTGTGTGGCTCCCAAACCTACGCCACACCTCGCTCCAGGCACCCCAACAACCTGGCCTGCCCTCTCCACAGCGACAAACTTTTAGGACTCACAGGACCAGAGAATATGGTCACCTCCTGTGATTATCCTATCATCTTTTTTAAAAAACACCTCTTTTATGGAAAAATGTTTCCCCTGAATTCCATGAGGTTCTTCAACGTCACAGCCCCCATTTTAAAAATGAGGAGCCAGACACCCAGAATAATTAGTGACTTCCTGGGATATTAAGCAAATCAGACACAGAACCAGGACCCAATTTCAAAAGCCCCTGTGTCTTGGGCCATGGCTCTGGGGCTCCAACCAGACTAAGTGGTTCCCTGCAAAGTGTTCAAACTGGCAGGGGGTAAACCGATGTCAAGCAGTGATGCCAGGCTTCTGGGTGAGCTCATCATAGGAGAAGCATCCTCGCCGCAAGGTTAGTTCAGCAGGGTTGCCACCCCACCACCATCTGCACACGAATAAATCTGAGGAAGATAACTAAGGACGGGGAGGAAGACGTTACTCGTCAGCAATAACTTCATTCACTCGAAGAGTCTTCCCAGTTCTGTAAAGAAAACCAGGTCCCTATACATTCCTCTGCAAGGGACAGATGTCCTTTAGAGAAATGTGACTTGCAAGGTATTGTGTGTGCTCTATTACTCAACAAGAGCAGACTCGTAAAATGTCAAATGCTTTTTCTAAATTCCTATTTAGAGAGAAGGAAAACATGCTATTATTTTGTCAAAATCAGCCACCTTGGCAGCCTGAGCCCCTTGACTCTATATGGTCTTTAGGTCATCAAAGCAAATGTACATTCATGTTGTACAGTTGTTTGGTATTGCATTGCCTATCAACGAAGAGTTGAAATAGCATTTTCATTTAAATGTGGAGCATTCTCACCTGTGAAAGCATTTGTGGCCTGAAAACCAGCTTCCTGCATACTGCTCCCCAGACAAGCCTGTGCTCCGACTATTGAGCTGTCCTGGCAAGAGGAAACCGCCTGGGCGAGGCCTCAGGTCACTTCCATCTTAGCTTGTCGGAGTCCATTGCTTTGCCCCGTCCAGCTTTGGGTAGCATCTGATGCTCACCTGCCCTGCTCCCAGAGAGCAGGCGGTACCTGGGACAGCACCCAGTCCAGCACGTGCACACCTGGGGCACACAGTCACGTCAGCCGTCCAGCCAGAGAGTGCAGGCCATGGTGAGCCCGGAAGGGGCGGAAGCTGCCTCTGTGAGACCTGCTCTCCCCCTCAGAGCGGGGGCCTCCTCTGCAGCTCGGCAACCAGCATCCTCCACGGCTCCGACGCTCCAGTGGAGTTCGGTGTGGTCTGATCTGCTGCTCTCTGTGCTTTGCGTCTCTCCTCTTTCTGAAATTAAAAAGAAATAGGTCACTTTACTGAGGATCTGTAGGAGCATTAAATTTGCCGGACCCACCCAGAGTCGTGCTCAGAACCACAGGGAAGGCACGGGAGAGCTCTGGGAAGAGGCAGCTGCAGACCTTGTCCTGAGTGACAGGAAAGGGCGGAGGGCAAGACAAAAACAGGGCTCACTCCAGGGCTCTAAGCCTCTCCAAGGACGGCCACAGAGGCCCCCCCAGCTTACAATGTCCTTCCTGAGGTTATCATAGTTCACAGACACCCCGAAGAACCCGTTTTCCAAGCTCATTCCCAAGGTCTTAAAAGTGGGATCTGAGGTCCATACCCACTGCTGTCTAGGAAGGACCAGGGTTGAGAAATTTTAAAAATGACTCTTAAGGGGGAAGCAAAGGCTCATATTAATTCTTTTAGGAGAGTGAGAAGGAAGGGCAAATTTAATCTACAAACTTTTCCATATATATAACATAATAATAACATTTTACAAAATACTTTCAGATAGCCCAGGGTTGTTATATTACACAAGAAGTAGCATTAATAAGAATGTCAGAAGCCCAAAGGACCAGACTTTTAAAACAGAATCCTAAATAGGAATCTCCAGTATTAGAGGGGAAAAATTTTTTTTTTCATTATCATCACCTCATCCTACTCAATTTATAACTAATTTTTAGAAAATGTAACCTTATTCCTCATTTTCACCATCAAACTAAAAGAAAAATAATTTAAGAAAACAGCACATAACAGAAATCCTCTATTAAAGCCCTTTTATTGCTGTAAATAGAAATATAAGGTAATAAAATAAAACATCACTAATACAGACTAACCATAAGGAAGACTTTATGTATTGATGAAGCACTTTAATTATATTAAGAAATTCAATTACCTTCACACACCTACAGTAACAATCTCAGATAATAAGGTATAGCCCAGTAGGAATCCTTAAGTTTAATGAATAGGTAAAAATTTTTATTTTAACTAAAAACCATTGATATAAATGTGGTGTTGAAGTTCTTGAAAATGTGGGAGAGTGTTTTTTTTCTCTGAATTTAAATATTCCATATAAAATGACCAACACATACAGTATCAGCATCCCAAAGTCCTGCACCAACTTCTAAAGTAAACTAATCACATGCACCATAGTTATCCATTTCAGGAAATGGCATTGCCAGATAAAAACAAAAGCCCACCTGGCCTGAAACTTTAATTTTCTTTGGCCCTTTTTTTTTTTTTTTTTTTGCGCTGCCGGGAGCGGTGCTAGTCGCCGGATAAAGTGAGGGCCTCACCCCAACGCGGCCTTAGCTTCCTCGGAAGAACCGAGCACCTTACCGGCAGCGGGGGAAAGGGGCTCTTTGGCCTTTTCTATGATGCTTTCGATGCACAGAAATGCTAGACTTTATCTGTCCCCTTTCTTTGAACTCAGAGAATAACTGAGAGTGGTGAGGTCTTTGTTGTTTTATTGGGAGGAGGGGTTGTTTATATTATTTCGTTTCATTGAGAAAGGTATGACAGCTCACTTTTTAGGAAATCAAGCTATCCTATGCAATATTGCAAATGGCCATGGGAAAGACTGAGGCAGATATGGGTAGCAATAGAAAAAACAACAAGCCTTTTTTCTTTTACTGTCATTATCACACTCAGCAATTCTTAACTTTACTTCTAAAATAGAGGTAGTTCATTGCTAGGGCTCAGCCATGGTCTTGGCCAGGAGTTTTAGAACATGATGTGTGAGATTCCCAACATAGGATGGAGGGACACAATCATAAGTCTCCTTATATGCAATTTTCAAGTTAAAATGAAACCATAAGGGCTATCAGTGTTTTCTTCCTAACCGCTAACAACACAGCAAGATACACTTTATAGAAACATAGCACAAGGGTCTCCAGAACCTGGAGTCATTGTTCTATTCAGTGAGGGATCCAACCAACCCGAACAGGGCAAAAACCCAGCCATGCTCGGGAACAAAGTGTCAGATGACCCAACAGTCTGGGCAACCGAGAATCAGCAGAAAAGGCAGAGAAGCTGACAAATCATGCCTCATCCGCTTGTCCTTCCATCCTCTTGCCCATCCCATCTCCCACTCTCAGGTGGCTCCTGCTCCAGAACCGCCGCTCACTTTCTCATCTCAGCTCCAACAACCCTCCTCAGAGATGCCTCCTAGGTCGTCCCCAGGCTAAATGCGGAGCCTGGTTACCAGCACTTGCCATAGTTGTGTCTGCATGCAGGGGTGGCGACTGCTTAGCGCCCATCCTCCCACTAGACCTTAAGCACCACGAGGACAAGGACAGTGACCGGATGACTCTCCGTTTCCCCTCAGCACTGAGCACAGGCACTCGGGAAACACGCGTTTACTGGATGAGGTGATGAGTGGATACAGAGAGGGGCACATACAGAAGGGCTCAGCAAATGTCTACAAAACAACCCCCCACCCCCAGCCGTGAACTGACAAGCAGCGTTTCCTGGGCTGAGAGGCTGTTCCGCAGGGCTGACTCCAGCCTCCGGACTAGCAAGTGCTTCTCCTACAGCCCATCTAGGTCAAGAGGAGACAGTGCTTATGAGCAGTGATTCCACTGCACTCACACTTCACAGAACCTCCTACCCAGGAAAGGGCCGGAGGGGTCATGGCTTTAAATTCTTTCCACCCCCAGGGAGAAAACTCTAGCCCCACAGAGGTTAAACAACAGCCACAAAAAGCAGTGTGCCGGAGAGTCACACTAATCCCTGAATGTCTTGCCCCGACAACCACTGTTCTTCCCACGCTAGTGCTGAATCTCACGCAGTTCCCTAAACCAAAGTACCTTTAAGCCTAATAATACCCAAATCAAGAAAATCAAGGCTGGGGGGAGAGAAAGCATAAAGAAGGAGGCAACTTACCCAGGACACAAGGTCACCGACTAATCCTGAGCCACAGCCACACATTCAAAGGCCCCCTCGACCCAAGCACGCTACTGCCATCCTGTCGTCACACACACACACACACACACACACACACACACACACACACACAGGCGTTCTATTTATCCTGGGAAGATGGGCAGGACTAACCAGGAAATAATTAATTCAATATTGCACTTGAAAAATGTCATTAAGCCCCTCCCATAACAGAGTAACAGTTACTAAGGAAATAGAGCACACCAAACGGAAAAACACCCCCACAGGAAGGGACAGTTTTAAAAAACATGAACACCCACAAAACCTCACCAAATAAGTTGTGGAGATATGTTTGCTTTACCTCTTGTGCATAAAACTTTTATGAAATGCAGTGCTCCTAGGAATCACTGGGGAATGAAAACTTAACTGCATTCAACAGATCCGAGGTTTCGTGGAAGTGCACACTGTGAAAACAGACACAGCAATTCCGGAAACATTCGGGTGACACGCCGGGCACAGAGGCCAACACCCAACAGAGAAGTGAAACAACCCCTTTTCAAAATCTAGTCACATTCAAAAAATGCATAGTGCATCAACAATAAACACTGCAGTTTCATTTTTTTATTTCCTCTCACTGTGGACAGACTGCTTTGCGGGCTGCATGTCGGTTACCTAGGTGACGGCTAGACGGAGCAGCCTGAAGGGCTCCAGGCATAGAGACCTGGGAGCGGAGGCCCCGTGCTTGTGTCTGACGGACCCATCCCTGCTCTACCCACCAGACAAGGCCCAGGGAGAAAGGAACACTGAGAGACAGATAGCCCTGGCCTTGACAAACTGAGGCACGGTTGTAAATTTCAAAACATAAAAATTAATGTATTAAGACTTGTACTGCACTGTTTACAAAAAAAAAAAAATCTCAACTATGGGTTTAAGTTCAAAGTGGCAATGACCAGATGTGAGAATAAGTGGAAAAAGAAACCCAAGGATCTATTTCCGACCAGAGCTAGACTGTGTCATCCTGGGAGAAAGACATCACGCTTCTCCACGAGTTTCTCTGCCTCATAAACAGGCGGTTTTAGACCTCAGCAAGTACCAGTCAGCCAAGATGTCCGAAAAGCAGTAGGACCTTAGAAACACCAGGCCTGCCTGCACGGCAGCAGTGGGGCAGAGCACAGGGCAGGGCATCCCCCCGGTTCTGGGCCACTTACGGGACTTGGGCAAGTCCTGCAGCCTGCCAGGCTCCCATTCCCTCCTGTGTAAAGTGAGAAGGGGAACCGAAGGTCCCTTTGGATCTGAGTGTGCCCCTGAGCCAGTGTCTCTGATCAAGGCAGACAGGACACATGTGCATGAAAAGGACACGGCAAACAAGCCCCGGAAATCTGCACACAAACACAAGTCTGAGAAATGGGCTGCCTGCAACGCGGGGAGGCTGAGTTGGGGTGCTACTGATTCTTCAGGATACTTTTAATTTCTGTGGTTCAGGCTATAAAACAATTGCAGCTTTTAAAATGTCACAAACAGGGAAACGTGGCAATTATATTAGGACATCCTCTAAAATGTCTCCTTGTCAAATATGACACCTGATAAATCCTGAAGGATCTACACAGTCTGAGGCTCTACTCATACCAGATTGGAGAAAGTGTCCGCGCAAAATAATAACGTATGATCACTGTCCCTAGTGAATCGTGAAGTCTCTATCTATCTCCTTATACCATCTAGGAGCAAAGGAAGCAACGAGGGACCATGGGTCCCACCCTTGGGTTTCACGGAGAAGAAGAATGGGGCTCGGGGGGGAGAGAGGACCTGCTGAAGGTGACGGTAGCGATGAAGGCAGAACTGGGACCCGATCCAGGTGTCAGTCTAGGCCAGGGGTCCTCACACTACGGCCCGCGGGCCACATGCAAATACAAATATTGTCTTTGTTCCCGTTTTGTTTTTTTACTTCAAAATAAGATATGTGCAGTGTGCATAGGAATTTGTTCATAGTTTTTTTTTTAAACTATAGTCCGGCCCTCCAACGGTCTGAGGGACAGTGAACTGGCCCCCTCTTTCAAAAGTTTGAGGACCCCTGGTCTAGGCCCAAGCTCAGAGTTCTTCCATACATGCCAGTTGGCAAAGGAAGAAGC